ACTAATGTTCGTAACAGCATTATTCATAACAATGAAAAGGTGAAAACAATCCAAGTGTCCATCAGCTGATGAATGGACAAAATGTGGTATACACATAAAATGGAATACTATTCAGCTATAAAATGGAGTGAAGTTCTGACACGTACAACAACATGGATGAACCTTGACATTATGTTAATAAGACAGTCACAAAAGGACAAATATTGTATGATTCCACTTATATGAGGTACCTAGAATAGGCAAGTTCATAATGATGGAAAGTAGAATAAAGTTCCCCAGAGAGTGGAGGGAAGGGGAAATATGAGTTATTTTTTTATTGGGTACAAAGTTTCTGTTTGGGATAATGAAAAATTTCTGGAAATGGATAGTGATGATGGTTGTACAACATTGTGAGTGTACTTAATGCCACTGAATTTTACACTCGAAGGTGGTTAAAATGCTAAATCTTATGTATATCTTACTACAATAAAAAAGAGAATTCACAGCTTTTCAAAATCATTCTGGGTGTTATGGGAGAGAGAGAAAAGACAGTACGCTCTGTGAATGGCAGGGTGGAATATGCTCCACGTCAGCAACTTTAAGGGTGAGGTAGGGAAAGAAATGTAATTGGTACAGCCACGTCACCTAAACAGCTTTCTTTTTTTTTTTTTTTCATCTTTATTGGGGTATAATTGCTTTACCATGGTGTGTTAGTTTCTGCTTTTATAACAAAGTGAATCAGTTATACATATACATATGTTCCCATATGTCTTCCCCTTGCGTCTCCCTCCTTCCCACCCTAAACAGCTTTCTTAACTCAAAGCTGAGAAGAGAATCTGAAATAACTCTCAGAATAATACGGGCCAATAAAACGTGTCCCCCTATCCTATTTCCATTTGTGCCGGAGTTAAAAAGAACATCTTCCACTTAATTGAGCGCTTCTCAAATTTTTATTTTAAACATACGTGCCCTAAAGGTGGCTACTGTGTTTACTTTGATCGTCTTCAGTATTTCAACGCACACGAAATTGTTTAGCATTGTCTGGGGAGAAAACCTTGAGATATCACATCCCCAAATGGGACCGCCGATGTGAACGGCCTGTCTGGTACAGGTCAGAGTAAACTTTGTTCAGGAGTTCCATTAGCACCAAGATGCCTTCACCCCCACCGAAGTGTGGGGCCTAGGATAGAGAAAAGCTCTCTTCCCCCTCGGAAGGGGCTCTCCCAACAACACCCAACTCCATAACTGTTTCCTCACGCTCCGTTAAGCGGGCCCAAGTCTATCACTCTCCGGGTTGCTCCAAAGGATTCTGGGAGTTAGGGGCGGGACCAGGGACAAAAAAGAAATGTTGGCCCAAGGTGAGCAGCCGATAGGTTTAGGATTATCGGCTGGTTGCTGAGCGATTTCTCAAATCTTCCCGACAACTTGCATCACTTCTCCCACCGGGTACGCCCGCGCTCCTTCTCTTCCTTCCACGCTCCGCCCCCTAGGCTGCCCTATTAGCCAATCATCAGGTGGGTGCTTGACGGGCCGGGCCAATCCCGAACACGCTTACTTTGAGCGGGAAAATCTCAGAAGCTCCGGGAGAGAGAGGTCGCCTAACTGCCGGTTCTTGGCCTTGTCTCTGGGTGGGAGAGTGGTAACAGGCCCTGGAGGCAGCCGCCCATTGGCCGGGCAGCGGGCCAATGAGGAGTGCGAAAGGGGGAGCGGCCCTGCCATAGGGGGCGGGGCGAGGCGGGCAGGTGCCAGGTCGCGTGCTGGTAGCGAGCCGGTGCAGACAATGTAACGGCCTTTCCCCCCCACCCCGCCCCTCCCTCCCTGCTCTGGTCTCCGCACCCACAGACCGGCTCCAGGCAGAGCTGTGGGCGGCGGCGGCGGGGTGCGGGCTGAGGGAGCCGGGCCTCGACGCCCCCTCACCCCTGTACCCGAGGAGCTGTGCCTAGTCCAGGAGGGGCTGGGGGCACCATGGAGGTGAGCGGCGGAGACGCCCGTCCGCCCTCTTACCCCCCAGGCCTGAGGGAGGGACCTGAGGTAACCCACGGGGATGGTCCGGGTCCGGGTGTTGGCCGGGCTTGGAGGACGGCGACGGTGAGGAGAGACTGAGGAGCGGGCGCGTCCCTGGACGCGGGTCTCTGAGGCGGCCAGGCTGGGCGGGAGAGGCCGGGTCACCAGCTAGGAGCCCCGACGGGGCGCCCGGGCCGCGCCGCGGGGGTGAGCGGGGGGCGCAGCAGTCGGTCGGGCCGGGGCCTGGGGGCGCGGTGCGGGCTGACAGGACGGGCGGCCGGGCTGGGGCGGGAGGTGACGGCCCGCGACGCCCGGGCTGCCTCTACCTCCTCCACGTTGGGCCGCGGCGGCGCTGAGGCGGAGGCCGGCGGCGAGGGCCCGTCGGGTGGGCGAGGGCCGCGCCTCGGGGTCGGGCCTGAAGGTGGAGAGGGAAGCCGGGGCCTCCAAATGAATGTCCTGGGAACTGATTCCGGGTGGAGCTGGGCGCACAGCCGACGTGGAGCCATCGTCCGGCCGTTTCGGTCCTGGCTCTAACCTGCGTGATGTCTCTCTCCCGTTTCCTATCCCCGTTTCGTGCAGCGGAAAGTCGCGTTACGTGGAGGTGCGAATCGCTGCTGGAACCTCAGTGTCGACGCCAGCAGTCGGCTAACAGATGTCTTCAACAGCGTGATGTTGACTGGCTCCCCTTCCTTCTATGATTGCTACAAGTCGCAGGTCAGTTACTCGGCTCTGCCTTTGGTAGAGGATTTTTTTCTCCATCAGATCCAGCACCACCCCCACTCCCACCCCCCAGGCCATTCACATAGGTGTTTAAATTGCTCCATGTTTAGGACCAGACACCCGGTAACAATATTTTTTTTTTAATAAATTTATTTATTTATTTTTGGCTGCGTTGGATCTTCGTTGCTACGCGCGGGCTTTCTCTTGCAGCAGTGGGGTGTATTCTTCGTTGCGGTGCGGGGGCTTCTCGTTGCGGTGGCTTCTTTCGTTGCCGAGCACGGGATCTAGACCTGCGGGCTTCAGTAGTTGTGGCACACAGGCTCAGTAGTTGTGGTGCACGGGCTTAGTTGCCCCGCGGCATGTGGGATCTTCGCGGAAGGAGGGCTCGAACCGGTGTCCCCTGCATTGGCAGGTGGATTCTTAACCACTGCGCCACCAGGGAAGTCCCCGGTAACAGCATTTTAAATACAGAGTCTGCAGAATACACACTGGTTTCGAAAAAAAGTTAAGGAATAAGATTTTTCGTTGATTCTTATTTTTGTCTTGTCCTCAGCATGACGTGATGCCAGAAATGTAAGAAAAATCTGTATTTACTAAGACCATAAAATATTTCTTCCTTCCGGCGTTTATTGTAAGTCGGTGCAAACATACGTTTTATAATTTAAATTTTTCTTTACTCTTTTATTCTCTGGCTCTAACAATGTCTTTGGTGACATGCTGCCTTTTACCTCACGTAAAACATTTAGTTTTGTTGTTAATCGTGTTAAATTAAGCTTAGGTTAATGTAAGCCATTTTCATTTGAAATTATTTAACCAGGACATCACTGTTGATATTGTTATACTTTGAATTATAACAATATCCTGAAATAAATAATTTTATTTAATTCACACTACAACCTTGTATAGTATTATACCCACTGTACAGATAGAGAAACTGAGGCTCAGAGCGTTTGACTTGTGCCCTAAGTGACAAAGCCCATGTGGAACCCAGCTCTTTTTCACTGCCAAGACCAGCATTCCACTGCTCTCTGTAATGTTTACATGACTACTAAAATTTACTTGGATTTAATTTCAGTTGATTAAACATAACAAGGATAAAGTGATACATTTTGCAGTTATCTAGAGTAATTAATATGCCAACCCTAAGCATTTGCATATTTAATTTCCAGAAATATTTTGACTGAGAAGGATCCAGATATTTAAAGTATAATTGTTAGAATCCACCACATTACTTTAGTTGCTTGTTTTATCCTGGCATATTACAGTTAAATCAATCTTTTAAAAGGATTTTTTCTAATACTTAAATCTTACTTTAAAGTATAAAATATACTTGAAATAATACTCCCAAAATACATTTAGTTTCACATACTGTTTACTTCATTTGATATTATATAATCTGAAAATGCTTATTTTGTTTAAGCAACTCTTTCAAAAAATGAACAATTATTTATGTCACTTTGGATACTTCAAACCTAAAAGAGAGTTAAGGGGGTCTGTGATAAAAACTGCAGAACTAAAGAAATAAAATTATGAAAGGTTCTAACAATAAAATCCTTTATAAAAGTTACTGCTAACAAACAGAAATTTTGGAAAGGCAGTTTTTAGTGGCACTCTTAGCAAAATCCCTTCTGTGCCTCAGTTTCTCCAGCTTCAGAATAGTCAACAAAATATAAGCTATAAATGAGAAAATTATAATGTGTAGGTTTCAAATAGTAATCATAACTGGAATTTAAACAAATGGCTGTAAAATATTTGAGATTCTTGAAGGTGAGTGATTAGAAGGTATTAATTTTCATATATTATTGGTATAAACTCAGTGAATGTTTAAAGTGTTATTTTTCAATTATCATGTCTATGAAGAACAGAAGTTTAGGAATGTTTTGATCTAAACATGTTTTATCTCTTTTTACATAAATTTCGATTAAGAGAATGAAAGCAATTAGAAAATATTTTTAACCAGGATTATATACCTTCTATATTTATAAGAAAATACTATTTCTACTGTGTTTATGCCTGGATATTTATAGTTATTACATCTCACGTTTTACTAGCTCCTTATTTGGAGAGTTAAAAATTGTGAATCTGGGCTTCCCTGGTGGCGCAGTGGTTGAGAGTCCACCTGCCGATGCAGCGGACGCGGGTTTGTGTCCCGGTCCGGGAAGATCCCACGTGCCGCGGAGCGGCTGGGCCCGTGAGCCATGGCCGCTGAGCCTGCGCGTCCGGAGCCAATGGGAGAGGCCACAACAGTGAGAGGCCCGCGTACCGCAAAAAAAAAAAAAAAAATTGTGAATCTATACTTTCAGACTATTTTAAGTATTTAAAATTTGAGGGGGCAGTATTTTCACTGTACCTCAATCCCTTTGGGAAGGAGGCAGGACTTTTAATAATTCATTAAAATCTTAAAACTCAAACTTTTTATCTTATTTACTCAAAATTCATTATAGAAGTGTTAAGAAAAAAGAAAATGAGCTTGTTTTTTCTTCTAATTGTAATATCTTTAAAATTTCTTAAGATATAACATGTCTCATCTCATTTTTACACTTTCTCTTGGAAATAGAAACTAGGCTGAAAATTAAAGATATTGTTTTAAAAGGCCCTAATGTAGGAGTAAGAAGGCCTTGAGATTGGGTTTTAGTTTTGTCACCTCTTAGCTCAGTAACTTTTAGCCTCCATTTCCTCATTTTTAAAATATAGAGAATATCCATGTCATAAAGTTGACTGGATACAATAATGTTTGTGGAATTTCTTTGAAAATTCTATGTAAATGTACATTCACTTTTTTTTTCACAGATTGGGGGCAGTAAGACTGAGTTTTGTAAATGATTTATTAAAAATAATACTGCTATAGTCCACATAATGCTCATCTGTTCAAAAAATTAAAACTGCAATAACTGTAGGTGTTTTATACCAGTGATAAGCAACAGGTACTGAACGGGACCAAAATTTTCTTGGAATAACCACGCCCACTTGTTTACATACTGTCTATAGTTGCTTTGGTGCTAGAACAGCAGAGTTGAGGAGTTTCAATAGAGACCTTAACACAGCAAACGCTAGAATATTAATTATCTGGCCCTTTAAAGAAAAAAATCGCCAACCCCTACTGTAAAGTAAGCATAAGTGGCTAAGTCTAGATTTGTCTCCCAACTCCTCAAATTTCCTATTATTTGGCTAATATTCTGTAATAAATGCAGTTTTGATTGTGTCTGGTATACAAACATGTCTTTAAAATTTCAGAGTGAAGACAGTGTTGACCTAAGGCAGACCTATGCTCCACTTTCTTCATCAACAGAATATGCAAGTTCTGTAGATTCTTCACTTTTCTATGCACCATCGTCTATGTACGGAGATGATATTAAACAGCCCTCTAATTCTCAGATCAGTGTAAAGAACAGGTAAATTAATAAATTAGATTTCTCAGGCTAAATGAAGTGTTTTTAAGTTTGATTACATGGGAACGTAGTTGTATTAGCCCTTTGTTCCCTATATCAGCATTTTTATGTTATGGCATAATTTTGTTTATCAAACTTTTAGGAAATCTTAAACAGGATAGTTACATGTGTATAATTTTTTCTTATTACTTTTTTTCATTCATTAGAGGCAACCCTGAGTAAATCTTAAGTTCCTCTTTCTAAAGATAACTTATATAAATGAGTTACCGTTTTTCAATCTATTTTTTTAATCCAATTCTAAATTTTCGGTAATTTTTCCTTCACAAGTATACAACAAACAGGATTTTATCAAACATAAGATACTTTAATTATTTTTCTGTTCAATTCCAGTAATAATAAGGGCCTACTCTATGTCAGATTCTCTCCTACTGGGGATATTAGAATTAACATGGCAAAAATTATCCCTGCCTTTATAGATCTTACAGTAATGATGATGATGATGACGACAACTTGTCAGGCACTGCAAGTATAGTGAGGTTTGAAAGAAGTAGTATAGAATATTATGGGAGCTTACTGCCAAGAGAAGCTTAAGGGAGTGACAATACCTTTATGTTAATTATAATAAGGGAGCAGTTAATAGAGGCCGATGCATCTTTAGTTTAACCAGGACATAATTATTTTTAAAATCTACTAATTAATTAAATAATTGTTAAAAAATTTTAATTTGGTAAGTTCTCTAAAATAGTGATTTTATTAGAAGGACTATATAACATATAATTCTACAAAAAACAAAAATATTTTTTAAGTTGATACTAGTTCATTGAAAAACCTCACACTTTACAGAAATATATAAAGGCAAGCAGAATTTTACCATAACCTTGCCTCTCCACCTCCCAGTAACAACTATTAACAGTTTGGTATATATTACATAGAATATTTTTCTAGATATATACTAACATTATTAAACAAAAAAACTTTATATTGAATCTTTTTGAAATAACAAGATGTAGTGGAAAAAGCATTAGACTTGTAGGCAGACCATTTACTCAGCAAGTGTATAGTAAAGCATGGCAAATCACATGCCCTTGCAAAATTCAAGTTTCTTAATATCACACATGATCATTTATTCAACAGCTTAACGATTACTAATATCTTCCCTTCCTATGTTATGAAGATCAATGAAATTTTGAGTGTTATGCAAATATAAGGTATTTTTATTTATTTCTAAAATGTCCTAACACTATGAAATGATAGACATAAAATATGAAAAAACAAGAAATTACAATTTAAAACAACATATTACTTCTAGGAACAAATTACCCCAAATCCATAAGCGGTAAAAAGGCACCAATTTTCCATCTCCTTGTGGCTTTTACATTTTGTATTATTTAGATAGTTTTAGTCACTAGGTAGGATTTCAGGTACATGGAGTACCAGTCACTTCTTCAGCAAAGATTTAGGGGTAGCCTCCAAATCTTTTACATTTAAGGGACAACTGCAATGTTGCTGTGATATCTAGGATGACCATATCACATTTCACTTTTTAATCCAACGTTTAGTATGAAGAGTCACAAAATAGAGCAACAGGTTCATATGGTTTTCAAATCACAAATGGAAAAACTGAGCAAGTGTTGTTGATGTAATGATGTATACTAGGACTAAACATGATTTCAGGAGCAGCCATGGTACCAACCGTGTCTGCAACATCATGGATCATAGATTTGTATCTTGATCACCTAAAACGAATAGCATGTGTTTTGGAGAAATAAGAGGTAAGCATACATTGTGAACTAGACATAGGATTTGGAATGAAGGAGAAATACTTATGTAACATAAACACTATGCTAAAGTGGAAAATATTCTGAGTTCCTGTTCCCTTTTTATTTGAAATGATGGTATAGAGTCAATCCAAATATTTTATCGAAAAATAATGGCAGAAGTCTGGAAATAGAAATCAATATATTGTATTTCAATATGAGCAAAAGTATTTACATGTGATATTCATTTATCTTTAGGATTCAAACAGAAAGAAATGACTATGGTAGTGAAACAGACTTATATGGACTTGTGTCTAACATTTTGGAAGAGCAAGATAAATCACAGCCATATTTCACTGAGGGGTTAGTATATTATATAAGCTATACAGTGTGTAGTAAACCTTTAAATTCCCAGGTACTAGATTACCCTATTAACTTTTATTTTTAGTTAATAGAGGATCATCTGACAGTAGACATCTTAATTCAGATATTTGTTTCGAGAAGGCTTGATTTTGCTGTGGTGCTTGCCATACAATTGAAAGTTTAATTTGCTATTAAGAACTTTCATTTGTTGAGATGTGCTTAGAGCAGGGGGTCTGAAGAAATGGCTCGTCTGTTTACAACATACCCGACAGGAATCTGGGTTCATTGTGACAAGGGGCACAAAACTTGTGGCCTTCCTATGAACAAATACCCAACACGTATCCCCCTGCACCTCCATGTGGCTGCTGGGCAGGACCAGTGGGACAGGGCTCAGTACTGGAAGGAAAGCTACAGCATGCAGTGGGGAAGTTTGCCACGTGGAGCCTGTCTGGTCCACGTGTGGGTGGGCCATGAATGGTCTTATAGGCATAAAGGCTTTGAACCCCTCTCTTCAAAAAAAGCAGAAAAATAGATTCCAACTTATGACATTCTGGAAAAGGCAAAACAATGGAGACAATAAAAAGATCAATGGTTGTCAGGAGTTTGCGGGGAGAGAGGAGATGAATACATAGAGTACAGAAGTTTTTATGAGGGGTGAAAATACTTTGTATGACATTATAATGATTTTATGTCATCATACTTTTGTCCAAACCCATAGAACATGAAACACTATTCACTTCGTAAAGTGAACCCTAAGATGAACTAGGGATGTTGGTGATTTTGATGTGTCAATGCAGTTCAGCCTTGGTTAAAAAAAAAGTCTTAAAATGAATTAACACTCGGGGTAGACGTTTTTGGCAAAACTTTTGTTTCACTTTTATATATGTATACACATTATATATGTGTGTGTTTGTTGGATTGTGATGTAAAATGTGCTTTTTAGATTAAAAAAGTTTGCAGGCTACTGTAGTTATACTGGCAAATAAAAGACAAATTAATTTTTTTTAAAAAAAGAACTTTCATTTGGAAACTTGCATAATTATTCTTGCATAATTCAGAGCTATTTCCCTTGAGTTCATGAGCTAAAATTTGGCTTAAAGAATATACATTCCAAGGACTTTTATACTTATACCTACAAAAATAAAACTATCATTACTGCTGTGCAGAAATATGTATGGATTTTATTCATACGGTAAAAATTTTTTAAGTATGCTTTAATCGTTTTATTTGGGTGTGGAAGCCATGTTATGCGGCACGTGGGATCTTTAGTTGCAGCATGCGGGATCTTTGGTTGCGGCCTGTGAACTCTTAGTTGTGGCATGTGGGATCTAGTTCTCTGACCAGGGATTGAACCTGGGCCCTCTGCATTGGGAGCACGGAGTCTTAGCCACTGGACCACCAGGGAAATCCCAGCACATCTTTTTTATTTAAAAAACATTGAGGTCAACAACACTTTTGTATTATATAATAACTTAATTAAAAGAAAAACTTATTTTGGTTTCTACTTACTATATATAAACAATTCATGTGGGGACTTCCCTGGTGGTCCAGTGGTAAAGAATCTGCCTTCCAATTCAGGGAACACAGGTTCGATCCCTGGTCGGGGAACTAAGATCCCACATGCTGCGGGCAGCTGAGCTTATGCACCTCAATGAGAGAGCCCGCGTGCCACAAACTACAGAGCCCATGCACTCTGGAGCCCGTGCACCCCACAACTAGAGAGAGAAAACCCACACGCCACAGCTAGAGAGAAGCCCGCGGGTCGCAACATAAAAGAGCCTGCATACCTCAACAAAGATCCCACGTGCCGCAACTAAGACCCGACACAGATAAAAAAGAAAGAAAGAAAAATAAATTAAAAAACAAAACAAAACAATTCATGTAAGACCATGTAGTCACCAGCCTCAGGCCTTAGTATATGTCTCTTGGGAAAGTATAGTGAAGACATATTAAGATTACAATGCATATTTATATAGCATATAGCACATTTCAAGTTATAGTTATTTGGATGTAATGGCAGCTTATAAGGCAAAGTTGGAAAGGATTAGAGATTGGTGAGGTGGGGCAATATAAATGTTTTTGAAAGCCTTTCCTACCTTCTCCACTAAGAAAATAAAGACTTTTAAAACCTAAATTGTAATTAAATGTATTTACTTGTTCTAGGACCTGCTCCTCCAATTTAAAGTCAGTTTGGCCAGTGAACACAAGCAGATTTGCAGATCACCATGACCTCTTAACAGAAACCAAAAGGCCAATAGATACAGCCATCTCTCAGCAAGCTTTTTATACTGGTGAATCTGTGTCAGCAGTGGAAAAGCAGTACCTGCATAATAGTAATCTGATACCACAACAAAAAATAGATGAACTTTATCATGGATTTACTGGTTTAGACCTTGAAGAACAATGGATGTACCCCTCACGAAGTGATCATTCTAACTGTTACAGTATTCAGACAAATGATACAGCTAAGACGACATTTCAAGAATATCTATCTATCAAAAACTGTTTTACACCCCACATTGGTCTGTCTGACATCATGAAAGAATCAGGAGTTGATACCTACTCTTATGGAAGAGAAAAAATATGTGCTAAAGGTCTTGAAGCACCATTACAGCAAAAGAGGGCAGAGATGTTTCTTTCCCAATTTAATAGATACAATGAAAATGCAGATTATTGTAGATACCCAGAATATGCTTATCCTAATAAGGCTAAGCTGAATAAGTGTTCAAATTTTAGTGTCCAAGATAGTAAAAAATTAGCCAGTGGCACACCTGAAACACCAACTGTAGAAGCAGACACCTACACAAAGTTATTTCAGGTTAAACCAGCAAATCAGAAAAAAATGGAGGCGACAATACCTGACCAGCAGAATTTCACATTTCCAAAAACTATACCACATCTGACAGAAAAACAGTTAGCAAAGGAAGCATTTACTGCTGATTTTGGCTTAAAATCAGAATGTGGACTAAAACCTCACACAGCTTGTCCAGCTAATAATGATTTTGTCAATGTCACAGAAAAGCAACAGTTTACTAAACCTGACCCCCCAAATTCTGAGTATTTTAGGTCAGTGAATTTACTAGCAAACTCAGCAGCATCTTCAGGCAGTATCAACTTAAACAGACCAACTTGGATGAATGTCCAAACAAAAAATAACACTCTTATTCCTTATCGAAATCAAGGTAACTTGATGAAATTAAATACTCATTTAAGTGCAGCTTCAAAAGGTTCTAACCATTCTTCAGATTTCCTGCAACTATCATCTACAAATTTAACAGCAAATAGCAATTTATTTCAGAAGTATTGCCAAGAAAACCCTTCAGCATTTTCTAGTTGTGATTTTGGTTATAATGGTGCAGAAAGAATTCAATCTGTCAGTCACATGAAAGGACTGACAAAGACTGGAGAAGAAAATCTCTTTGAATCTGTTACCGATAAAAAAATAAAGCAGCCAAATGGATTTTATGATAACTATTCAGCTCAGCAGTATGGGATCATTGAAAATGTAAACAAACATTATTTTCAAGCTATGCCCCAGAGTGGCCATTATGACCCTGAGGAAGGGCCAAAGCATTTAGATAGCTTATCTCAAAATACATATCAAGATCTGCTGGAGTCACAGGGTCATTTTAATAGCCACAGACAGGGAAGTGGAGAGAACAATATTAATAGCCGTGTGAATCGCACACAGGTGTCATGCTTTTCTAATAATTATATGATGGGAGATTTAAGGCATAATCAGAGTTTTCAACAACTTGGTTCAAATGGGTTTCCCCTAAGATCCACACACCCACTTGGCCATTCAGTTGTTCCACTGTTGGATTCCTATGATTTGTTTTCTTATGATGACTTAAGCCATTTAAACCCGTATTTCAATGATATGATGTATGGTGATAATTCCTTTTCTGGTTTTGTGCCAACTTTTGGATTTCAAAGACCAATTAAAACCCGTAGTGGACCAGCCAGTGAACTTCATATTCGTCTAGAAGAGTGCTATGAACAATGGAGAGCATTAGAAAAGGAGAGAAAAACGGTAACACAAAACTATCCATTTAGGTGTAACTTAGTATATCCCCTTTGCCTATCTTCATTTTATTTACCTTAGTGTAGCTTAAGAAAGAGTACTTGCCTTATTTTTAAGTTGCATTCTTCTATAATGTGTAGTATTTGTTAAGTTCATGACTATAGAGAATTAATTAGGTAATTTAGAGACTAAAAATGCTTGGGGTTTAAAAAAATTTGTTATTTTAAAGTTTATTTTGCCTATTAGGTAGACTTTTTCCTTAATGGGTTAAAAGTTTATTTCTTTGAATTTTCTAAGTATTAAACTATTGGAGTGTTTAGGTATTTTATGCATTAAGTGTGACAGAAAAGTACTGTGGTACTGTGGTTTGTATTTGTTGCCTTTTGATACCAAAACAATTTTTATCTAAAGGAGTAATTTTCAATTTACTTCTTAGGCCTATGAGAAATATTATTCATGATTGAATCATATTTAGAAAATTTAGCATCTAAAAGTCATATAATTTTTTTACAGACTGAATTGGCCCTTGCCAAAAATTATCCAGCGAAAAAGGTATCGAGTACTAATAATACTCCAATTCCAAGGCTAACCTCCAACCCATCTAGAGTTGATCGCTTAATTGTGGATGAACTTCGAGAACAAGCCAGAGTAAGCTGTGAAAATATCCAATAGCAGATTTTTTAAACTGATAAAATTTTAAAATGCTTCAGCAAGTTAGAATTCTGAAGGATTTTAAAATCACATTTATGTGTAACTCCCTGAAATGTATTCTTTTCCATGTTTGGACCTAGAACTATTAGTTATTTAGGAAAGGGAAAATAGCCCCACTCAGTCATTGAAATAGTAGGTTTAATAGTCTAAGTGGTTCCTCTTCAAGAAACCCAAATTAGCAATGGAACTAATCCTCAACAGAAAGAAAATTCTTTTTAAGCAAAAATCATTTTGCCTTTTACAGGGAAAGTCCCATTTCTTAGTCACAAACATTTGTTTCCTAGCTTCATGAGCAAACTGCTTGCATTATACAAGATAGTAAATTAACAGAAAATTACCATATCTCATTTTCTTAACTCTGTACTCTTAACTTTATTTTTGGCTGCATTGGGTCTTCGTTGCTATGCATGGGCTTTCTCCAGTTGTGGCCAGCGGGGGCTACTCTTTGTTGCAGCGCATGGGCTTCCCATTGCGGTGGCTTCTCTTGTTGTGGAGCACAGGCTCTAGGAGCATGGGCTTCAGTAGTTGTGGCCCACGGACTCTAGAGTGCAGGCTCAGTAGTTGTGGCAGACGGGCTTTGTTGCTCCGCGGCATGTTGGATCTTCCCAGACCAGGGCTTGAACCCGTGTCCCCTGAATTGGCAGGCGGATTCTTAACCACTGTGCCACCAGGGAAGCCCACAGAGTCTTATTTTATTGAACATTAGTTTCTTACTTGTACCATGCTGTCTTTAAAATACAGATATGAACTACTTCAATGGAAAAAGATTGATTTTACCTAGCTTTCAGCCTCATTCAGTTGTAATTTTTAATCAAATTTGTAAATTTGTACAATGGAATTTATCAGTGGTATAGTCAGATACTGACATGGGTTATAGCCAAACGTTATAAAAACTTAGGTCTTCTGTTTTTTTCTTAAAACTGTTCCAAGTTAAATTTTCTTTTTCTCAGTAATACATTTCTAGGCAATAAATCAAAGGATTGCTAACTGTGGATATTAAGAAATATACTTTTTCCAGCCTTACTTAGGCTTCACCCTAATTTAGAAGGTTATGTTTATAGCTGTTATAATAATTTTGTTTATCTATATTTAGCAACATTAGATCAGTAATACACAAAGGGCAAAAATATTTTTATGTGTACCACTTTCTAGTTTGCTGGTTTTGTGGAATTCTGAAAAAAATCTTTTAAAAGTTTATTAAGGGCTTCCCTGGTGGCGCAGTGGTTGAGAGTCCGCCTGCCGATGCAGGGGACAAGGGTTCGTGCCCTGGTCCGGGAAGATCCCACGTGGCGCGGAGCGGCTGGGCCCATGAGCCATGGCCGCTGAGCCTGCGCATCTGGAGCCTGTGCTCCGCAACAGGACAGGCCACAGCAGTGAGAGGCCTGCATACCACAAAAAAAAAAAAAAAAGTTTATTAAAAATCACCTGTGTAAATTTCTTTCTTTACACTTATCATTTATTCAAAATGATTGTCTTATTTTAAAAATACATAATTTGTAGTTCACTGGAGGTTTTTCTATGGTATTTTCTTTTGTTGTCTTATTTTCCCCTCAAGAATCTGGCTGGTTGTATAGTTGGGAAGAAAATATTTTATACCTGTACACTTGTGTTTTCTCCATGAGCTTAAACTGGGATAGACTTATTCCAAAGAAACTTGATAGGAGTGTGAGGTTAGAGGCATCATTCAGGTGCTTATTAATTGAGAGGTATTTTTCTACTCTCTCCAATCACTGAACACCAAGTTCTTAATGTGAATTTTAAATCATTTAGCTCCCAAAGGCAATTATTGTATTTATTTGATGTTCAAATCCTACTTACTCAAAAACTGCTCTTTCCTACACCTTACAAGTTTAGAATTTCAAACAAGTTAGGCATATACAACTATGAAACGTACTACCCTTACTGATATACAGTGCTCTTCTTTAAGCTTAATTAACCAGAAGATTGAGACTTCCTGATTTTCCTTAGCAGTTTTGACAGTTATAGGATTTATTTTGTATTAGTTCAGCATAAGTTTAAATTGGTATTTTCTGGATTATGGATTCCTTAAAACTACCGCTAGCCAGTATTATTTCTGATTTCCAAAAGGAGAACTTTGGAGGCCCAGAAAGGAACTGCTGAAGTCAAGATTAATCAATCTAGGATTTCTCCTTTTTAGCTCAGTTTTTTTCCCTTTTAATTACAGTAACTCCTAATAATGCTCTATTTGCAGGCTATTCTCTTATTTGCCAAAAAGAATGTCATATCTTATATTTGCACTTACTGTTAATAACATGGAAATATTTGAATGTTTGACTTTTTCATTGTTGCTTATTCCCAGTAACTGACTACCCTTAAACCTTTCAGAATTAACATACACAAATAGGTACAAATACAGACTTTCCATCTTTGTTTCCTCCAGCATGGTGTCAGGACATAGTAAGCATTCACTTATTTATTGATTATTACTGCTCTCATCTCTATTCTGCTTCATTGAAGATTTGTTTTAAGTTACTGACAGGGCAATGTGGTTACATGCCTCATCAAAATTTAAAATGTTTCCCTCAGGTTGTGACTTTACTGGGCAAAATGGAACGGCTTCGAAGCTCTCCCCTTCATGCCAGTATCTCTACAGCTCTTGATAGACACTTGGAGTCCATTCACATTGTACAGTCACGTAGAAAGGACGAAATTGTTAATGCTTCAAATCGGCAAAGGCAAGGTGTTCCTAGATGCCAAGATGACAGAGGTACAAACATTAATGCATATTCTTTTGATAAGGCACTGAGATAATTTGAATGTTAATAAAATCAGACTCTAAAGTTAAAGGGTTGAATTTCTAACATTTATACTTATCTAAAGAATAAATTGTTAAATGGTGCCCACATAACTTACTCCAGAAGTACTTTGATCTATTTTGCTAATATTACCCATTTAATTATAATAACTCTGTTAAAGTCTGTGTTCTACCTAAAGCATAGTCATGGTTATACAAGTCAGAAATAAATACAAGTATCAACACTTTTAAATATTAAGTCAAGTACTTTGGTTAGCTCAGTCAATAGCCATCCTTCTTTTATAAAAATAATGTTTGATCATTTAGTAGCACAGCACGGGGTTTTATGAGTTAAGGGGTACTTAAATGGCATCTGATATGAACTGACCTCAAATATTTCTTTTACAGATGTTTTTGCCCTTGCTTCAGCAATTAAAGAGATGTGTGTGGCTACTCGGAAAGCACGCACTACCCTGTGGTGTGCACTGCAGATGACCTTGCCAAAAACAGCCAGTACAGCTGGCCAAACAGATGTGGAAAAGGCTTTACAAGATATAGTAAACTGTGAAGATAAAGTCCATGAAAGCCTAAATAGTAGCAATCCAATGAACCAGAGAGGTGAAGCAAACAAACATTAAGGAAATGCCAGCAGAAAGAAGAATAAAAAGCTGATAAGTAAATGTATCAAAACATGCTAAAAAATGTTAATGAACTTGTCAAACTTGAAAATTTCATTACATTAATTTTCTTTCAGATTTAAAGGTAATACCTTAATGAAGTCTAACTTCTATTTAAAAATCTTCTATTTGGAATGAATCAGATGTAGTTTAAAGTGAACTCAAAGCTAAAGTTGACCACCCTAGGGGTTCCTGGGTAGTCAAAGATAACAAGTTTAAGTAAATTAAATATTTCCTAACAGCTAAAATATTGCTGAAACCCATTCTGCAGTGCAGGTAAATGCAAATGTGAAATTCTTCTAGAAGATGTTTCATTTAGGTCTGCCTTAGTAAGTATAATTCCAAATAATGAATCTAAGTGACTGTAACCCAATTATGGCTACAGTCTAGTAACCAAGACATAGTTTTGATTGTGATATAAAAGTGTTTTCCTTACAAAACTGGATAATACCTAGGAAACAAAGGAAAACAAGGATGAACCCAATGTTCATGTAAAAATATTTAAAATACTACCATATTTATAAATTTGAAATCTTAGTACCTAAGTATATGGAGGAAAATGCATCTGATTCTCCTAAAGCAGGGATAAAAGTGCCAGTGAAAAGACCATGCAAGTTACTGAATATAAAGCCTGTTCAAATCATTTGTGTATATTCTTTAAAATTTAATTATACTATCAATTATTAAATATTTCCAGTTTTAAAGTATTTTAACTGAATCAAAAACAAAACATTTCCTTTATCTGGATCTTTTAGACTTGATGCACAGTAACTAAAATAATGATTATTGTTTTAATATCCTTAGTTTGCTGCCTTTTATGAGGGTATCACGAAGTTCTAAAATGTATTTTTTTAAGGTTAATCTTTAACTTGTTTAGTTTGCAATTGGTTAGTGTATATTTTGTGTAGTTCTGTTCATTAGTTTGCTTCTGTATTTTTTTAAGAGCGTTCTTGAAAGCTTGGCTTTTTCTGTTTCTCATCACTTAATATCTTTGTATGGAACCTGAGTAATTCATTAATATGAAATGTTGGTATTATGTGACTCAGAAGATCTTGGGTTTTAACATTTCTAGCATGAGTTAAACTATAATATAATGTACTGATGAAATTTAATTGAACTATCCTTGACTAGAAACACTAATGTTTCAAATGTTGGTGTGTTTCCTAGTTTTAGAAATCCTGGTATTAAAAAAAAAAAGTGTAATCACACCACATAAATTTTCTTTAGATGATATTCAGAAGAAACTGATTGAGAATGCAGGGTTAACTGTAGGGAGAAACACTTTGATCACTGAAATGCCTTAGAACTACCCAAATGAATTACATTGAGGGTAGTCAAATAAAATAGGTCATCCCACCACAGTCACTGTATAGAAAGTGGTTAAGTTTGACGTAAGACATGTTGGGTGTTATGAAAACAAATATTGAACTGAATTTAGTCTCTCAGGAAAAATAAATAAATTACTTTGTTGAAAATATTTAGTTTCATTTTTTTACATGTTTGTATTAGTTTTTTTTTTAATATTTATTTATTTTCTTTTATTCTTTTTTGGCTGCGTTGGGTCTTAGTTGCAGCATGCGGGATCTTTCCTTGTAGCGCGCCAGCTCTTTGTTGCGGCGTGTGGGCTTCGCTCTAGTTGTGGCTTGCGAGTTTTACTCTCTAGTTGTGGCACACAGGCTGTCCAGGGCGCGTGGGCTCTGTAGTTTGCAGCACACGGGCTCTCTCGTTGAGGCGCGTGAGCTCAGTAGTTGTGGGAGCCGGCTTAGTTGCCCTGCGGCATGTAGGATCTTAGTTCCCCGACCAGGGATTGAACCGGCATCCCCTTCATTGCAAGTCGGATTCTTTACCACTGGACCACCAAGGAAGTCCCTGTATTAGTTTCTAACATTAAGAGTCACTCATGCCAGAAAACCAATTAAATTTCATTTAACTGATAAGAACTGGTGGTAAGTTTTAAATTTCATTATTAACACATAAATAATAGTGTTAGTAGATAATAAACCAATGCCATTCAGATATCCTTAGATCTAACCTGACCTCCTTCAAATAAATTTTTGTTCTGCCTTTGTGCTATTCCTGGCAAACCAGAATAAAAATTCTGGGGAAACTTTTACATGACAGTGGTCAGAAATTAAACACTAGTCCATTAACAAAATACAAACACAAAAATTCTTTGAAATTCTGTTAATCAAGTCATGCTTTGGATAACTCAAGTTAGTAGATTGTTCCTTTCTATTGTATACCCTCTAATGGATGGTTCTTAAGCATTGTACTTCTGAATTACAACCTATGAATAATCTGGTACTATAACGTTTTAGAGGGTTGGGAATTAATGTTATGACCGAAATTCCAAATTTGGCCTAAAATGTCAATCATACCACAGAAAATATGGTTGTTTAAAATTTGCCTTTTGCAGTATTGAATATTTTAGACATAAAGGATTTACTGGCACCTGAGTTAACTGGATAACCTTACTCAAAGCCTAATGAGCTGATCCTCTTTTTCTGTTTAAGCATTAGTTCAAGTGTACACTAACTATAACCTATGTAATAGAGTCCCAGAAGAAAGAATTGCCTACTGTTATAACAGATTGAAACTAGAACCCTTCAGGGGTCTATGGATATAACTTGACTCTGCTTCAGAGACCAAAATCAAGGTGAGAACCAACCAAAAATCCAAAATATGGGTTATTAAATTAAAATAGGCTCTCTCATATGCTATCTGTAGCCACAGCCACATATGAAACTAAGACTCCAACAGTACTTCAGAGACTTCAAAACCAATCTACTGACTGTCCAAAAGAGAAGGTAACCTTTCTGATCTCCTAATATCCAACTCATAGAAAGGAAAACTGAGGCAGAGAATTTATAGATTCCAGGAAGAGGTTCTACTAGCAGAAGAGATAACTGGGCTAATCAGAACATAAGTAAAATTCAAACCCATTCCTAAGTGACTATCCACACAGAACTCACTTCCAGGTGGAAGGAATCAGAATAAATCAGAAGACAGTGATTTAAATAGTTTATTTTTTTAAAAGGTGGTTATTTAAAAAAAATTTTGCAATGCCACGGTTATAGGAGTGTATAGAGGTGACACATCATTTCCTTAACCATGCGTTTTACCTTCCACAGAAAGGTAAAAAAATTTGTTAATCTCATAGTTAATGGTATAAAACAGAGGTCAGCAAACATTTTCTCCGAAGGGCCAGGTAGTAAATATTTTAGGCTTTAAAGGTCACATAAGGTCTCTGTCACATATTCTTTCTTTTACAGCCCTTTGAAGATGTGAAACCCGTTGTTAGCTTGCACCGCACAGAACCAGACTGGGCAAAATTTGGCTGCTGGCAGTTGTTCGCCCACCCCTGGTATAAAATATCTACTTTCTGTCTTGACAGAGGAATTGCTGTCTTCAGGCTTCTTGACAGGCTACTGCCTGAAGTAGGGAAAGGCCTATTTACAGCCGAATGTGGCTTGTGACGAAAGTAGACATGGAGGAGAGTTCCTACTCACTTTTGACTCTCCCAAGCAGTTTTTCCATTCACTCACTCGTTCAATAAATTTGTTGCACCTACTATGTACAATCTTAAATATCTTTGTGTTAGCAGAGCTTTCCAGTGTTTCTTCCTTAAAAGGGTTTCTTTAAACTTGTAATTATCAGGTCCTTATATGTTTTAGGGCAGATCAGGATTAAAATCTCTACTAGCACTCAAGAGGATTCATGATTATAAAAAATGAATCTAGCTAACAATGATATCCTTGCACTCAATACTGACACATCCTTCTTAAAGTCACAGCCCAGGGCTTCCCTGGTGGCGCAGTGGTTGAGAGTCCGCCTGCCGATGCAGGGGACACGGGTTCGTGCCCTGGTCCGGGAGGATCCCACATGCTGCGGAGCGGCTGGGCCCGTGAGCCATGGCTGCTGAGCCTGCGCGTCCGGAGCCTGTGCTCCACAATGGGAGAGGCCACAACAGTGAGAGGCCCACGTACCGCAAAAAAAATAAAAATAAAAATCACAGCCCAGATAAGGAAAAATATATAACTATCTCTTATTAAAAGACACTTTGTTTCCTACCATAGGCTGAAACTTTTAAAAAATCTCAAATGTAGAACAGCCACCAAATAACTTCTCGTTTTCCTAGTTTGTTGCCATGTAACATAAAGTCTGGATCCAGGTGGGGCTCTTCATCAGCTTCCTATTTCAGCCATAAAACAATACATTTAGGGGTGAATACTACTTCTGAAGCAATTGACACTCCTACATTTCATCTCAGGGAAGGAGTGGTCATGATTCTGCTCCTTCAGGACAAAAACTGTCAGCTTTCTGAATATTCCTGCTCTTTATCCCAGGTGAGGGAAGACTTTTTAAAGTGGCCAAAAGGAGTACAGGACTTCAGTATTAAAATATAAAGATTGCCCCCATTCCAGATCTTTGGTACAGACATCAACTACAATAATCTGCTTACCCACATCACAGAGACATGGCACATTTTGTAATTAGAAGTGTTTGTGATTTTCCTTTTGACCATGTAAACAAAAGGGGAAATGCCTTGGGAAACCACTTTTGCAATGTTTTCTCATTTCTCTTAAATACACAAGTGCACAACCAGTTCTCCCTTTGACCAAGTTCATGAGGAGAAAGAATAGAGTGGACCAAGGTTATCGCTTTCGCTCTCCTCTTTGAGTCCTTTTCTTTTCCTTTTCCTTGCGCTCCTGCTTGGCTAGCTTGTCCCTCTCCCTCTGCAGCTTGTCCTGTTCCTTCTTCCTTTGGGACTCATCCCGAAGAGAGTCTCGCTCCAGTTTTCGGGCATTAAGGACATCTTCCACGTTGGTGTTTCGAAACAGGGCTACAGGTGAGTTAAGGGATGAGGGTCCAGGTCACACAGGTCTCAACTACTGCTCTCTCCTCATTCTTGCTGTCATCTCTCTACATGCCAAGTCTTCAATACTCTCTACCTATCCCTAGTCTTAAAAAAAAACCCTTACGTTTATCTTTGGTCTAATGGGAAATCCTAAAACTACCATTAGTAAAAAACTAGAATAAAAATCTCATTCAGACTTATCTGAGTGTTAAATATTTCATGAAAATGAAATTTCATTCTACAATAAGTACTTATATCATTCACTGACGCAATATTGTATAGTATCCAGGCTAGTTTTAGTAACTAGAGTATTAAAGTAACTGGCAAAATTTTTATGTACTTGGCATTATTAAAATGCTTGAAAAGAGTTAAGTTGTTTAACCTTACTAAACTTTATCAGGTTGCTTTTTACCCTAGACCACTAAAGCTTAAGTGAAAATCATGTTCTAAGGAAATAAGTTTAACCAGTTAGAAAATACCTAGCCAAAAAAACTTTACTCTTCATTTCTTACAACTTTAAAACATAACCTGTTACTACCAGACAAGCTCCTCTTTACACTTAAAACATAATTTTTTTCTGCTTTAGTGCTTTAAAATGAATAAGTCTCACTGAAATAACCCCCCTTCTCAGATAATCCACCATACTCCTCACCTTTAAGGCGGATTTCTAAATCCACGTTCTCTAGGAAGCTGCTCATAGTGATTCTGTTGGTAGGGATTTTCCTCAGCACGTATGTTCCAATCTGTCCGTATTTTAACTTAAAGTCTTCAGTGTTTGTAGTCTCTTTCCACTGAATTATAAGATCTTTGAGGACAAAGACCAAAACTGCAATATTGTTCTATTTGCTTCCACATTGCTCGGAAACCCAGCGCCATATGCAGGGAATATAGATTCTCATTTTCCCTTAGAAATCCTTTCTCTAACCCTTTCACAGTTCATGTTAACATATTTTCTTTGGGGAAAATTCTTGCTAAATTGACTATTTAGTACTGTCCTAGGACTGAGGCTCACAATGCTGGCCTGACCTGTGTCATTGGAGGTAAATGGAGCCCCCAGCAAGGACAGTAAAATAAAAACTGACCCACAAGAATATTCTATGGAGGAACACATGGGGATGGACACAGAGAAGGATACATTTCTCAGAACCAGTGCTCATCATGGTGGCACCTGAATCATCCTTCTCATCTGCTTCAGTGAGTGACGTTAAGGAAAGTCAGATGGAAAACAAAGGTTAGCACATCCCAACCCAACATCAGAAAATAGTGACTAAGGTGATGGGTAGGAAAAGCACGCTGAATGGAAGGACTCTGTCAGGGATATGACGGTAGACCCGGGAGAGTCATCTTGGGAAGTCTCAACTTGGGGAAGACTGCTCAGAGCTTCTGTAAAATCCTTATCTCTCAGAGGCTGAAAAGAAACTGAAGCTGGTCTAGGTGGACTGCCACATTACCTGGGAGCCAGGGGATGGCAAGATAACCTCAAAAACAGTGGTTCTCAAAGTGTGGTTCCCAGAACTTGTGAGAAACACACATTCCTGGGCCCCATTCTGGATCTACTAAATCTAAAACTGTGGGGCATAAGGCCCAGCAATCCTCCAGGAGAACCACTGCTTAAAACATTCTTTTCTAGCCCAAGAAATGAGATTTTGTAGTTGGAACCTCAGCTCTGCCAAACCTGGCAAGAAAAATCATGAGGGAAAACTAGAAGAGGAGTTGGCCCCAAAGAGCCTGAGAATTCTTTCCTAGCCTAGTGACGTTTCTGGTATGACGTCCACTCCATTCAAGCTGGCTCAGTAAGCTAGGCATTCCCTAAACAAACTTCAAATTCACAGGAAACCAGATCTGCCCCCACCAGCAACACCTGCTTTTCACACAGTCCCCGCTCAAATTCCAGGTTTATTCTGGTGTTGCTTTGGGGGGTTCAGTCTCACTTTGGGGGTTCAGTCTCACTTTTATTAATTATGTGGTCACTGGAATATTAAAAAAAAAAAAAATTCAAATGAAATTGCTCCAAATTTGGGAATCCAAATTCAAATCCAGGTTCTAGTCCTGGTTTTGCTATTAATTCTTTGAATGTCTCTGATCACCCATTCATCTCTTAGTGCCTCAGTTTCCTTATCAACTGTGAAAAAATATAAAGATGGATTATACATGTAACACTGTACTTCATAGAAAGGTATCATACAAATGTAAAGAATCATAAGTGTAAATCAACTATAAAGAATCACAGCTAGAGCATATTTTCTGAAAACACAGTAACAGTGGTCCATTCAGGCATTATTTGTTTCACACTGAAGTTTTCAGGAACATATAGATTGTGTCTTAAAAAATGTAAGTCCAGTATCAACCATTCCAACATCATTCCTCATGCCCACCGAGGGCTACAGATCACTGCCATTTCAAAGGAGAAAATTAAGCTATAGAGGGGGATTGGCAGCTTCCCAGAGCTCACTGTAAACCAGCAAAGGCTTTTGGCTCAAGCCTCAGGGAATGGCGCTGAGACTCCAGAAAGGATATTCCTCTTCGTCTGTCACGTCAGCATACTGCGCCAGGAGCGCAGCTTTCCTCTGCTTCTCCTCTTCTGACACCATCCTGGGCTTCACCACAATCTGCGCCTGCTTCTCAATGAGGGTGGCAATGGCCTGGACCTCATCTGGGAGGTGGTGGGAGGGCAGGGAGGGACAACAAGGTTGTATGTGAGAGGAAACATGCTCACCGAACCACTAGTCCACCACCCTGGCAGTGCTTGGAGTAAAGGCAAGGGCATCTGCTGACTCCTTAGAGCTCTGGGGTGCAAAGGAGGTGCCTCGGGGGCCAATGAGAAAGGCAAGGAAAGGCCGTGAAGGCCAGGCTTTAGGTCTCGTATTCGTCTTCAATCAGAGCAGCCCTGCTTTTACTTATTTTATATAATGAAGTTCTGCTGCTTTAAAAAAAAAAAGGTTAAAAAGCACTGCATTAGAACCATAGACAATGAAGCCTCCAAACATGAAACTTTCTCTCCTCTCAGCTCAGAAGCCAAAGAGGGAATCTAGCACCAACTTAAGCTGGCCTATTTCATGTTGATAATTATGCTAGGTGAAATTCTTATACTATTTTAAAATAAAATCATCTGTTAACTTCTCCATTCTCAAAGAAAGGAGGCAATGGTGTAAAGCAGTGATTCTCATGCCTGGCTGCATATTAGAATCATCTGGGGGAGCTTTAAAAAAGATAGCAATGCCTGGGTCCCCACCCCAAAGATGTTTATATAATTGGTCCATGGTGCAGCCCAGGCACAGGCACTTTTATTTTTATTTTATTTTATTTTTGGCTGTGTTGGGGCTTCATTGCTGCACGTGGGCTTTCGCTAGTTGCGGCGAGAGGGGGCTACTCTTCACTGTGGTGCGTGGGCTTCTCATTGCGGTGGCTTCTCTTGTTGCAGAACACGGACTCTGGGCACATGGGTTCAGTAGCTGTGGCATGCAGGCTCAGTAGTTGTGGCTTGCGGGCTCTAGAGTGCAGGCTCAGTAGTTGTGGCGCATGGGCTTAGTTGCTCCGCGGCATATGGGATCTTCCCGGACCAGGGATTGAACCCGTGTCCCCTGCATTGGCAGGTGGATTCTTAACTACTGTGCCACCAGGGAAGTCTTGGCATTGGCACTATTAAACGTACAGCAAGCAATTCTAGTGTACAGCCACGACTGAGAACATGCAGATGGCTTAGAACAGATTCTGTTCAAGTTTGGATTTATGATTTGAGCTTTCTGCAGCTGATTTGTCATCCTAATGGTAACATCTCTTTCATTTTAAAGGGTGGAGGGTTTAGCTGAATAAAGTAAAAGACCAATCATAATTTGTGTTATGAAATGAGAATATGAAAAAGATGGGAAAATATAGTTGACCCTATACCTGCAGAGCAAATCTACAAGGGGGAGTGGGAAGAGGAATGAAAACGAAAAAAGAAAAAACCACAATGAAGAGAGCCATGGTCAGCTGAAGCGGAAAGATGTAAAAGGAAAGAAGAAAACCAACGTTCAGTTAAAAAGTTAAAGTAGGACTTCCCTGGTGGCGCAGTGGTTGAGAGTCCGCCTGCTGATGCAGGGGACACGGGTTCATGCTCCGGAGCCTGTGCTCCGCAATGGGAGAGGCCACAACAGTGAGAGGCCCGTGTACCGCAAAAAAAAAAAAAAAAAAAAAAAGTTAAAGTAAGCTGCTCTGTGTTTGCCAGTTTAACTTATTTTAGGGCAAATGAGCATCCATTGGAGAAAACTAAAAACTCTTTCTCTAACAGCTGTAGAGTAAAGGTTGTTGGAGATTAGATGTAAAAACTCCAACTCTACCTTCTTTTTTCACTTTGGTGACAACGTTCTGAGTTTCCGACCATCGTTCCACAATCTCCTTGCAGATGTTAAGAAGGGAATCTTCTTCCTGCTTGGAAAAGTAGACCAATTAATTTCCTGAGAGCCCTCAACCTGAACAAAGTCTATGCAGAGGGCAGAGCTCCCCCTGCTGGTGATGAGAAGAAATCACAGGGAGGGTTTGGGAGCCACAGAATAGAGATTATGTTTCTCTTCTGAGGCTCCCAACACAGAGGTAATCCTATGTGTGAGTCCCAGAAGCCACACCTGCTAGGTCAAGAGCACCCACCACATCCTGTCAAGCTCCAAAGGAAAGGATTCTCACCAACTCAGGGCAGTCCTTCTCCTTTCGGGGCAAAAACCTGTTGCTTGAGTCAAAACTCTATGAAATCTTCCTTGGCCAATTTACTCAACTCAGAACACTCTCCAAAGTTTATCAACTTTCTTGCTGGAACATATCCACGAGCTTGCTGATCCATAATAAAGAGAAGTTAAGTGAGTAGATGGTCTCCTATACAACCATCCCTCTGTCCATTTTTCATAAGCAGACATATTCTGCACACCAACCAATCTTCCTCCTTAGCATGGTATGACAAAAAGGATGTTGGCTTTGGTGTCAGACTTACTTAAATTCAAATCCCAGATCTATGAGCAAGTTTCTTAACTTTTCCAAGCTTCACATCTTCCCAGGATTTGAGAGAGGATGAATGTGTATAAAGGGCCTACTCTGTGCTTTCACTGCCGTGGGCCAGGATTCAATCTCTGGTCAGGGAACTAAGATCCCATGTGCTGTGCACCGCCAAAAAAAAAAAAAAAAGGCCTACACCACTGGGCAAAGAACAGGCATTTCAACAAATATGGGTATTTCCCTCCATCTTCATTATGGCTGCCTTCACCACCTTCACCTTCTATCCCTCAGGATGAGTTGTCAGTATTCACATTTCCTAATGTGTCAGGCACTGTTCAAATACATAAGAACTCTCAGAGTTCTTAAAACAGTCTCAAGAAGCACTCTCAATTTAGAGATGAGGAAACCAAGGCACAGAGGTTAAGTAACTTGCCTAAGGTGATAAAAGTAATAAGTAGATTAAACAGGATTTGAACCCAAGCATTCTGGTTTTGAGCCCACGTTCTCAACCGTTATATTACACCATCTCTCAGAGAAAAGTAAGGAGAGGCAGAACACAGACTTACTGTGGATATCCTTATTCTGTACCCAACAATGGATTCCATCCTCTACCCTGCATACTTTTAGCATGCATGCCAGACATATTGGACTTCTTTGGTCCAGAGTTCCTGACTTGCAAGGATCCCCAGCAGGAAAAGCAAAGGGAGAGGAAAAGAAAAAAGGGTAGAAAAAGGAATGGAGAGGCAAAAGAGAAAGGGCACTCTTGGAGGACGAGGTGGTTTATTCCCCCAATCCCCTCATCCAAACCAAAGAAGTTCATTCCTCCATTCGTTCATTTATTCATCCAGATGGTTCCTGCCATATTCAAGGCACTAAGATGAGTGCTAAGAGATGAATGAGAAACAGTCACTAGCCTCATAACACTTACAATTTAGAAGGCTGGTATATAAACAGCTGTGACGAAATGTAATCTCCTGTTTACTAAACTCATTGTGATAATCATTTCATGATGTATACTGTACACCTTAAACTTATGTAGTGCTGTATGTCAATTATATCTCAATACAACTGGAAGAAAAAAATGTAACATCCTCCTTAATGCTATGACCCTACTTAAAGCTGCTCACCCCTCCATTCCACTCCTGATCCTCTTACAATGCTCCTTTTTTCCTAGCACTAATCATTTTCTAACATACTATATAATTTACTGATTATGTCTTTCCTTACCGGAATATAACCCTTTGAGGGCAGGGATTTCTGTCTATGTTGTTCCCTAAAGTACCCCAAGCACTTAGGGCAGTGCCTGGCCGATGGATATTTTTATCCATCAATAAAAATTTGATTAATCAGTCAATCAGCGCGGGACTTCCCTGGCAGTCCAGTGGTTAAGACTTCGTCTTCCAATGCAGGAGGTGCGGGTTAGATCCCTGGTGGGGGAGCTAAAATCCCACATGCCTCACGGCCAAAAAACCAAAACATAAAACAGAAGCAATATTGTAACAAATTCAATAAAAGACTTAAAAGAAAAATCAATCAGCGCAAGTGCAATCAGAAGGAATAAAGGGAAGGATGACAGAAGCTTTTGTTTACTGTCATTTGCTCCCAATTATATATACTATTCTTGAATCTTACCTCAAATTGTTGCTGACAAACTTCTAAATTCCTAATATTGAATCTAGCCCAATATGGCAATTGAGTTGGCTATGCCTTTTGATTTTCCTAGAATGGGAAAATAAAATAAATAAATTTTTTAAAAAGTAACTTAAATTGCTTGCCTCCTACTCTTTCCCTCTATGACCTGCAACGTAATAGTTCAAGGAAATAAGTTATTCCACTGTGTTGTATTTCCACTGAACTTATGAGTTGCATCACAAGCTGTGTTAAGGTTTTCCCATTTATAGGTCAATCTCACCAGAGCAGGCTCTGGAACTAAAAGGGGGCCCTTGCCAGGAGGCCCTGGGACAGCTGCACTAGTGTTATGTTTTAACCACGTGACCAGTCAATGAACTGCACTTTCACCAAATAAGTGTAGGTAGAGATGAGGGCAGGAGAAATGATCAGGTTGGAAAAGTGGACATCTTGGTGACTTACCACTTAAATACAGTTTAAATAAGCACAATTTCTGAATTCTTGAATCTGCTTCTAAAAGGCTAAGTATCAAGTTTATCTCTCTTCTTTAAAACTCTGATCTCTCTTACTCCCCAACCTACTCCACCCAATGATTACTGCATTTCTAAATACAGTAAAGGATCAAGCACAAAATTTGTTTCCATTCTGCCTAGGCGTGAAAAGACCTCTACCGCCTAAACTGACCTTTTTTGGACTCCTACCTCCAAAATAGGAAACCGAGAGGGTACCTCCTGCAGGCTTTTGTCAGGGGCACTGCCTCTTAAAGGGCACAGACATCTCAGAGCACTTAATTCCCCCCTCTGAACACTGTCAGCGGATGGGAATGAAATTGGTTGTTAGACGTTTATGACAAAACTCATTCAGACATTTCAACGCCTTTGGAAGAATACTCACCCAGCTCACCGACAGGCATCTGAGAGGGCCTTGTCCTCAAGAATTAGGTAAAGCCTTTCCTCTCTATGCACCTGCAACCTTCCGGCTCCCAAAACCCTGGATGGGGAGCAACCCCCTTCCCCCGAGGCCCAGGGCTCAGAAGAGTATTCCTCTCCCAGGTGAGACCACTAATCCTCTGGGACACCAAGTAGGGGAAAGGGGATACGAAGTACTGACAGGGGCCGGCAGAGAGGCTAAAGGAATGTGTCCGGGCTTCTCACCAGGAAAGCAGAGAGGATACCCTGCAGAGCGTCCAGCTTCTCCTCTTCCTCCTCCTCCTGAAGGACACCCAGGATGTAGGCACCGTAAACGGCTCGGTCCACTCCCAGCGCCTCCAACCGTCCGTCTAGCCACGATTCAAAGCCGCTGCCCCCTCCATCGCTCTCGCCGGAGGCAGCAGCGGCCACTGCGCTGGGCGCCGCCATCTTGGGGCCAGGGTCCTGCCAGCCCCCAGGGCGCCTACCGCGGCGCCTGACGGGCCGCGCCACGGGCTCACTGCGCATGATCAGAAGCGAAATCCACGCCCCGGCGCGCGGGGCGTAGAACCTAGTCGACCCGTAGTGACCTGCCGGGTGTTTTGTACCTTCTAAGTAGAGCGCGTCTTGGTTTACGCACGGTCATGTGTTCTCGCAGGAATCCTGGCTGGTGAGTAGTCTTAACCGACTCTTTTTTTACAGTTGGGGAAGTTCGGAGGGGTTCAGTGACTTGACCAAAGTCACGCGGCTAATAACTAAACGGGACTGGAACTCACCTTCGATTCTAGCGCCTCGACCGGCCTCACCAAGCCGCCCTTTCACGCCACTCGTGGGAAGTTAAGCCACCCACTTCCACACAGCTTTCAAGGAGGAAACAGCTGGCTCTGTCCGGAATGGCCACTGTCTCTACCAACTGCTACCACCTGCACCTTTCCATGCTCCTCCCGTATGAAAATTCAAGCTCCAGAAAACCTTCCCTGATTCCCTGCAATCTGTGTTAAGACCACTCCAGTGTGCTGCGGTTGCTTCTCTGCATTTACCGTGCTGTGCTTCACGCGCTACCGGACACACAGTGGGTGCTCAATAAATGAACAAGCAACCTCGAGTCATTTCTTTCATTCACTCAGTCAACACACAGAAATAACTCCGAGAGCCTTCTTTACCCATTGGCAAGCATTATCTAAGAGCTTTTGATACATTATCTCTTTAATCCTCCCAACAACCGTGTGAGGAGATGCTTTTATTGTCCACATAGTAAAGATAAGGAAAATGAAACAGAGTCACACAGTTACAGGGAGCCCAACCAGAGGCAAGTGCGCCTGCACAGCAGGCGGAGCCTCAGATGGCTCTCAAAACACCTGGCTCTGGGCTGAAATGAACTACCCAAGAACCCGGGTTAGCTTTCCCTGAACTGCAGAGGGGGCTGGCAGGTCACTGGCCTGACTTTTTCATTCACTAAATATTTATTGGCATTGCTGCTAGGCACTGAAATATAAATGTCACAAAAGCTCTCCCTTCAAAGGGTCTTCAGTGGAAACAGACATGTTTAATCATGACAGTACAGTGAGATAAGTGTTTCAATATCTAATGGAGATTGCAGTAGGTTGCTTGGAAGAAGATTAGGTTAACATTGCCTGTTGGATGGGAGTTGGAAACTGGAGATGGGAGATCTAGGAAGGCTTCTGGTGGAGGTGATACTTTCACTTTTTTGAAGAACAAGTGAGAGTTTTTTAGGCAGAAAGACTAGAAGAGAAAGGGAGCAGACCCAGATGCATGGCACTGTGTGGGCCCTCCAGAGAATCATGGATGGCTTGAGCAGCAGAGTTCAGATAGAAGATTTTCAAGGGATGACAACAAAAGGAAAGGAAGGGTCTTATATACCTGGCAGAGCGCCTCCTGAGAGAATCCTCTACCCTTATTATCGTTGGAATAATGTAAATGAATGAACATGGAACATTGTAAAGCTCAGTAGAAATACAGGATACTGTGACTATTAGCCCCATGGCTTCTGTGTGCTCCCTGAGTTAGAATGTGACAATAATGGAGTCAGAGGCCGGAGTCAGCCCCCAAAGACTTGCCCCTATTTCAGATCCTCAGATGTACTTTCTAACCCAGTGGCTGTCTTGCAGGTGGGGTTTGTTGGTTAACAGACTTGAGAGCCATCATGACTCAAGGATCATAGTTTGAGGTCAGAGCCCCCACGATCAGAAAAGGAGCACAGGGGACTTCCCTGGTGGCGCGGTGGATAAGACTCCAAGCTCCCAATGCAGGGGGCCGGGGTTCAATCCCTGGTCAGGGAACTAGATCCCACATGCATGCTGCAACTAAGGAGCCCACGTGCCGCAACTAAGGAGCCCACGTGCCGCAACTAAGACCAGGTGCAACCAAATAAATAAATATTAAAAAAAGAAAAAGGAGCACAAAATTTTGTTCCTTTTTAAGTTTTCACTTTGAAATAATTACAGACCCACAGGGAGTTGCAAAAGTAGTACTTAGAGACCTGTGCATCTTCACTCAGTTTCCCCCAATGGTAACATCTTACATAGCTATAATATAATATCAAAATCAGGAAATCGATATTGGTACAGTGCACAAAGGCTTTTTGAAGACATCCTAGAAACTTCTTACAAAACTGAGTGAAGGCTCTACAGACCCTGCATTTTACAAAATCCTCATTGGCTGTTTTATTACAAAAGTTATAGCTCATAGTTCAAAAAACCAATTCATACCACTGGACAAATGACAGAAAGCTTACAGAAAAAAATCAAGATGGCTTTTTACACTGGAAAAAAAAGAGTCATTTATAACTTTTAAAATACGCAAATTAAACTTGCAATGAGATAACGTGTTTTCTTCTCAGATTTAAAAGTCTGATAATACTGTGTTGATCTGACATTGGGTAACAGGCACTGGAAAATGTTTCTGCAGAAAGTAAATCGGTACAATCTTGTTGGAGCGCAATTTGAAAAGACCCAGCATTTATCCTTCTGGGAATTTATTATAATACATGCATGTGTGCAGAATGACATATTTATAAGGATATCCGTTGCAGTGACGCTAATTGTAGTGAAAAGACAGGAATAGTCTACATTCTATCTATAGGAGACTGACTCAAAAAAGCCACAGAAGGAAGTATTGTGCGGCCATGAAAGTGGAAGAAGCTCTTTATGTAGTGACATGTAACAAAATTCAAGATACATTGTTAAAGAAAAAAGTGAGGCTCAGAACAGTATGTAATGTTTGCTACCATTTGTGTTTAAAAAGTTGGAGGGATGGGGAGAAATACACACACATATCTGACCTGGCATGTGCATAAAATATCTCTGGAAAGATACACAAGGGAATGTGAAGAGGGTCGTCGCTGAGGAGGAGAACTCAGGGAGACTAGTTTTAAAACATCTTGTTTTAAAAGTATGAGCTATTTGTTTTATTAATTTACCTTGCATCTTTTTAAAATATTTATTTTATTTTTGGCTGCATTGGGTCTTTGTTGCTGCATGTGGGCTTTCTCTAGTTGCAGCGAGTGGGCACTACTCTTCATTGTGGTGCATGGGCTTCACATTGCGGTGGCTCCTCTTGTTGCAGAGCACGGGCTCCAGGCGTGAGGGCTTCAGTAGTTGTGGCACGAGGGCTCAGTAGTTGTGGCTCGCGGATTCTAGAGGGCAAGCTTAGTAGTTGTGGCGCATGGGCTTAGCTACTCCGCGGCATGTGGGATCTTCCCGGACCAGAGATTGAACCTGTGTCCCCTGCATTGGCAGGCGGATTCTTAACCACTGCGCCACCAGGGAAGCCCCATCTTTTTGTTTTAAAGAAATAACGCCTCCAATCTCCTTTGCTTCCTTCCCTACCAAGAGGTAACCTCTATTCCTGAATTTGGTATTTGTCCTCCTCTTGAATGTTTTTAAACATAGTACATATTACTACATATGTAATACATATTATAACATATGTGTGTATGTATCCATATGGATGTATCCATGAACAATATATCACATTGTTTTGCATGTTAGACTTTTCATTGTGCAGTATGCTTTTTTCACTTAAGATCTTGAAAATATTTACCCATGTTGATACATGTAGCTCTTATTCATTCATTTAAAGCACTGTATAGTATTCCAGTGCTTGAATATAGCCCAGCTGATCCATTTCTCCGCTGATGGACATTTAGATTATTTCCCAGTTCTTCAAACAATGCTTCAAGTCACATTCCTTTTTATGTCTCCTTGCCCACCTGTGGAAAAGTTTCTCTAGGCCAGCAAGCATCAAACATATTTTTGCCACATCCTCTTAGCAGGAAAAATATTTTTGCTGTGCACCCCTAAAATATGAATATGTATTTATTTATGAGATACATATGTGAACCACTATTCCAAATTAGTATGTCCATCATAAGATATACAAAAAGATAACTGTAAAAAGGGCAATTGAAAAAAGAAGGAAATAATATATTACAAATATTTATTTATTTGTAGTACAAAAATCATTAGTGAGGGACTTCCCTGGTGGTCCAGTGGCTAGCTCCACGCTCCCAATACAGGGGGCCCGGGTTTGATCCCTGGTCAGGGAACTAGATCCCGCACGCCGCCACTAAGACCCAGTGCAGCCAAATAAATAAATATTTTTTAAAAAAAATCTTTAGTGAAAATAATGTGGCTGAATATGCTTCATTACTTTCCCACTTATTATTTATTTAAAATTTTAACTGTGGCAAAATGCCCATAATATAAAATTTGCCATCTGAACCACTTTTAAATGTACAGTTCAGTAGTGTTAAGGATTCATTACTGGCAAGAGTTTCTCTTGAACTTCAGTGATTTTCTCACCCATTGACCAGCTGACTCTCTCATTGAACCTGAGAGTTTGTACTCACACTTGTGTGAGAGTCATTAGGATTATTTGTAATCTTAATCTTGCTTCTTTGGAGGAATCTTGTTAAGCCTCTTGTTCACTTTTGGGGGCTAGGAAAATCCAAATAGCATAATCTGTAATTCCATTTACCTGGGGATTTGTAAACTGTGGAGAACAGTGAAAAACACGTCGCCAAACCCTGAAAAGAAAACACAGACAACCCCTCCACATATGAAGCTCCCTTACCCTTTACCCATATAACTCACTTGCTTTACTTCAGAACCCAGGATCTCTGACAAGAGCACAGGGAGGGCGCCAGCGTCAGTCTGTTTCCTAAAGATTAGTAAAACTTACTTGTTTTTCTTTTGGATAAAAAAATATATTTAAATACTAATGCTTCCCTTTGGCACCTCTGTGATTATCTTGTGTCTGAGGGGTGCACATCTCTCTTTGGAGACCAGGATATACCTAGAAACAGAATTGCTGAGTTGAAGGGCATAAACCTTGTGGATATCGCCATATTGCTGTCCCAAGGGCTTGTCCCAGTTTGCATTCCCACCCTTGCCTTCACATTTTTACTAAAACTTGCTTTTAATATACTTTAATTTTTGCCAGTCAAAGGGGTGTGAAAGAGCAT